AGTCATAAACTGCCAATTCCACTGTATAAACTATATATTATAGATGGAACATCGAAAGTGATAAATAAAGTTTTCATGAAGTGCAGACAGTACTAATTACTCGTTTCATTAATCAAACTCAACAACATCGCGTGAGAATACTGATGTGCTGACGTGCTGTATTATGGAAACAGTCACGACAGTTGTTAAAATTATTTTCCGGGCTTCGTTCACCAGTACGGTTTTTAAAACTCAAGTCGCCTGTCATTTGGACTAATTTAGTTTATCTGATTTAGTTTTAATTTTAAATGCGTTCTGTAACACCGTCTACCATCACAATTTTAACTCGAAATTCGAATTGCGCGCACGAATAGAGAAATTTATGGGTAGTTGCCTGTTGGTATACACTTTATAATTTATTGACCATCTCTTGGTTATGCTATTAATAATGAATATGTATATTTTTATATTGGCATGAATAGTGAGTAGTGACTGCTCTAAACGTAAAACGGATCCATAATATTATATATAGCTAGTTATTACATCACGCCTGCAGATAAAGTGTTGTGTACGTAACGAAAATAATGCGTTAGTGCGTTACTGTAACGATGCTACTTTGTTTTAGCGCGTGTGTAATTTCGTTGGATTTTTACCGAGTAGCGTGAATGTAATGTAAATTATTTTTGATAAGTTATTTCTAACATTTAAAATTTAAAGTTTGAAACCTTAAGTATTATTAATACTCATACAGAAAATTGTGATGTTTATCAAATATTATATTGTTTTAGTAATTAATAAAGTATAATTATTAATTTCCTTAGTATACCATCATCAAATACTCAAATGCCACATAACTACATAAGTGGGTAAAAATCACAAATTTTAAATAGGCGAGCAACGAAAAGTACCGTATAATATTTACAATAAAAACGCAGGTGCGCTTTGTTGTTAACATAACTTGATGTATTTTATTTCGTCAGATTAGAATCAAATACGTTATTATTTGTGAAATGTAGGTATAATATATCAAAATAATAATATTTTTACTCATACATAATATGGAGTGAGTTAGTCGAATGAATTTTCATAAAAATAAAAATAAAAACAACTGTAATAATTCGCTTACCGGTTGTCGTTTATTTTAACGTACACTGCACGGAACGGTAAAATCGTCTAAATTGTCAATTCGAATCACGCAAGACAGCAAAACAAAGAAAAAAATAACAGACCTTGTTTATTTTTCTCTTGCACGCACAGAGTAATCTATATTGTTGTTTGTTATAATAAAAGGGAAAAAAACAGATGGTAGCGAACTGAGTCGATACAGTATACTATGTACCTATACTAGCTTCTATACCTATATAGGTATTATAAGTGTAGCCTAGGGTCGGAAACGTATAGGTAAATATTCAAACTTTTGAAAATTCAGTAAGCAATACTAATATTGAATTAGATGCATCGCCGCCAAAAAATTTTCTTCACAACATTTACGCTAGAAAAAAATCCCCTATAAATAAAATCTTCAGTAAAAAAAATTAACTTGACATTATCAAGCATTATCGTTGAAGGCTTAACAAAAATATTCCAACGCTTATATTTTTTTGTAATAATATAAAGATAAAGATTTATTTATTTATTTTTGACTTCATAGTTTGAATTTTTCAGTTTTTTTTTTTTTGAATAAATATTTTCGCTTAACTTTAAGTTTTTTAAGCTTATTTGAGTGCTTATAATAATATTTTTAAGCGCTTATTTTAATGATTTTAAGTGATACAAGTCCCGAGCTCTGGTGATGACCAATTATTCCAATTATTCCTCTCAAAAGATTCATAATATCCATCTTCTCGTCATACTTGATGGTCGTTGTAATTGTTTGCATCGCGCGTTTAGTGAAACACTTGAAACAAATCGCATTGCTATATTTTGGAAACTTTTAACATCTTAAATGATAAATTTAGGTCTAAATAGTTTAAGTTTACTTTATGGTACTTATAACCTAGAAAAATTGTGCCCATGATCATTCACTATTTGTGGCCATTCAAATCAATTATTTTTAAGAATTTTTTTAAGAATTATCATCACAATTAAAAATATACATTCCTTCTGATTCAATATAATTATTTTTACATCTATGAAGTATATTAAGTATTTGATTTTCATTTTTTTATGGGTTTACCTGCAAGTGTAACGTAAACGAATCGATGATCATAATATTATGTGTCAATTATGGAAAAAGAAACCGTAACACCACTCATTTATTTCACTGAGCTGCAAACATTTGGCAACATATCGACAATTATCTCTGTCCTATAAAACAAAATAGATTTTTATTTAATATCTAGTAACTGGTATTTAATTAATTGTATTTAAAATATATCTTGTATCATCGACTATACTGTACGTCTGTACATACTATACGTATACTCAACGGACGAATAATTAATGCTCTTGAGACCAAATCTATGACTCGATTTGTGGGATGCATGTTTTAGTGTCATATATAGGTAATCGTCGCATTTAACGTAAAATAGTGATAAAAGTGAGTTTATAAAAGTTGTACCTCCGATAAATAATTTGGTTGTTATAAAATTCCTAGGATATTCGTACCCTCGTATGTCATTTTGGGAGGTAAAGATTTCCTAGGAATATTATCCTAAGATATTCATATCCCCATGGAAGTATTATTATTCCAGAATATTTGTAGATATTCCCAGTAGATAATTGAGAGGATATGAACATCCAAAGAATTTAGTCTGGGAGTAATATGAACCTAGGAAAATCATACCCACGATGCTGAGGGTATAATTATGTGGATAATTTTCTGTACGAAATAGCTAGGTTCCAATAAAACATTATTTGAAAGCGTTCAAAGTATAATTTATATTTAATTAAAATATGTCTTATGTCTGTAGTTTCGCGTGAATTATTTTAGCTTTTAGGTATTACGACCTTGAAAAAAACAAATTGTTATACTAATGCAGACCGCGCAGGTGAGTCACTTGTTTCACATGCGATTCTGTCAAACCACGAGTGCGTGCGCATTGCTTTTTCTTTTAAAACGAACATTCAGTCTATTAAAAAAATTATACACCCTCATAATAGTATAGGTACATTTTTATAATAATATGTACCTGCATGCATAGGCATCCGTAAATTATTGTATCAGTAGTTAGTTAGATACCTACATCGTTTTTATACGCGTATACCGTATACAGATAGGTTAAAAATAAGTGAAATAACTTTAATAATTAGAGTTATTCTGTCTATGTGTCATATATATGTCGAAAATAGGACGGAAGACATTTGAAATAATCGCGGGGACTGTTGTTAAAAATCATTTTAATATCTTGACGGTGACAAGGTACTGTACACTATAAAATATAAGGTGGATGGTATAATACAATTTTAATAGCTGCAGAAGGTAAGCCTAGCATTGTATAATTATTATTACGATTTGATCACTATAATATTATACGATACATAAACACACGCAATAATGAAATAGGCGCCATTATCACGCTCAAAGGTAGGCGAACTTAGTATTTATTGTAGGAATAAATTGTATTGTTGTAACAATATTATATTATATTTAATATACTAGGAAAGGTACTGGAGGTTTCGGAAAAAAACTATTTTTCAATGTCATTGACCTTGATTTTGCATGATAATAGTTTTGTAATTTTTTACGTTCATATAGCTCCTATATAAAAGCAATTCATTTGGACTTAGCACGAAACGCGATTATGGAAAATACGATGGTATTTATTGTATATTTGTATTAATTATGATTTATGACGACGACGAACTCTATAGCGCGCGGGGTTAACTCGATAAACGATAAAAGAGAGTCTCGTTTTAATGTTGCATTGTTGCAAGGTCAATTTTCTGAGTAAACCGAATAGGTACAAACATTATTATCGCACTATATAAGTGAGTCAAAACTCAAAAGTAGCGTCGATCGAAGTATAATATATTGATTTATTAGTTATTACTACTGCCAAAATATGTGCAGTAATGTAACACGCGATAAGTTTGTTGTTTGTGTATGTTATAATAATTGGCATTTATATATTTTGTCCTGCACGTTTTCAACCGTGCTATATTTATGAAACCGCATGATACTTATGGAAATAAAACTTTTAGTCGAAGACTCTGTCAAGTCTTTATTTATAAATGGAGCTGTGAACTTATTTAAAGTTTACATTTATAAATTAAAACCCACAGCATGTCGTTTTAATAATACTCGTGTCAGGAAAAAAATTATTATTCAAATCTTCGTTGGGTATTTAATTAATAAAAAAGTTTTAAACGTTTTAATAAAAACAACGAAAAAAAAAATAGTAAAAAATAAAAGGAGAGCTTGACGTTCATTTAATAATAGTGTTTTAAGTTTCACAGATTATATTACATTACGAGGGTTTTGAATAATAAAATATTTTGTAATTTTATTTTGTACTCAGATTTTTAGCCAAGTTTCTTAACATTGAAGATAAGTTTTATAATTTATTATTATTATAACAAGTGAGATAGTAATATAATGTTGTATGATCATAAGACAAGTACCTACAATGTTCAAATAGATAAAATAGAAAATACAAAGAACCGCATATAGACTACAAACATGAATATTACACTGTCATGACATGAAAAATTAAGTTGAGAGGGACTGTAGACACGGGACTTACACACTTATGATAAACATTTACATAGGTATTAAATGCTCAATTCTATCAACTATGTATTAATCATAAGTTTCAAGATTTTTAAATTGTGTATAACTGTAATTTATATAATGAAGTGTCATTTTATAAACATGCAATAAAAACTGTCTTGTATAGTATTAAAGTTGGCATGCTAAATATTTATCAACAACTTTTTGAAAATTTCTATGTGGGCGGGGATAGGTACCTACACTTACGTCATTTTAGTCGTTACAGTATACAAATATAGCACCCCTACAATTTGCTTGTATTTGGGTCTATCTTTGAAATTTAATACATTTTTTTTTTTTTTTTGCATAGGTGCGGTTCCGGAAGAAAAGTTTCCAGTCATGGTTTGGTTTCATCCCGGTGATTTTCATTGGGGTACACCGATTTATTGGGACGCTTCAGTTTTGGCCGCAAGACACAAAGTATGTTCACCAGTTACATTAATATAATTATTATTTATTATTATATACCAAACAGAAACATTCCTGTTAAAAATATCTTAACGTACATTAGGTACCTACACACTAACCTTCTTCTCTTATACAAATGTAAGGTCTTAAATGTATTAAATAATTGTTTTCAGTTGATGGTACCTGACAAATGTATCACATTCCTTACCTATTTGAAACGTAACACTATAAGCCTATTACATATACGAAAAGTTGTAAGCTCATAAGCTAAAATATAGTTTCCTACAAATCATCAAGATTGCCAATAAGTAAATTTTAAATTAAGAAAAATGAATCAGGTATAGGTAATGTATTATGTGGAATCATATAGGCAGGTCACAAAATTTCTTTTGATTTTAAAGCTTTTACATCTGCTCAAACTTTAAATAACGATATTCAGTATTCTAGTATTTATGTTATTGTAACCTATAACAACCTAACTCAAGATAAACGATGAAATCCAATAGATTATGGTAAACTGTAACTAATCACTTATCCTTTATATCAAAATATATAAACTTTAAAGTTATATTTTCCACTTCTTGATGAAATATTTTATTTAAAAGAAGGTTGTCCTCCTAATTTTTCCAAGTTACTTACGCAAATTTGCTTTTGGGACATGATTTAGGGTCTCATAAAAAAAAATTAATTTGAATTTTGTGACTCTACTGGAGAAACTGTTTTTATGTAAGCCTATCGAAAAACGTCATGCCACCAGGGAGTAAATCACTAATAATCCCAAAACAAGAGGTAAATCAGGGCGGTTAACCTGTTTAGTATTATTATAAAAAATGTAATCAATCATTTTGACATTAATTTAAAATGTAGAATTTGATTAACAATTTATAATAACAACTAACTGTAATCTATATTGCAATTAAAGAAAACGTTTATTGGTGATATAGAATATAATTTCTTTAAATTACCTAAGTAATAATATGTTATTACTTTTTTAGCTATAATATTTATGAATATTATAATTACATAAATATGAAGATTCATCATTGATGAAGAAACTTTTTTTAATATTTTTGTTCAATCTAATATGAATAACTTACTTTTTACCAGTTTTTGAAAAATATATCTTATATCATGCATATTGATACAAAAATAGATCTGATTTTACTGTAGGTAAGGATATATGGTTCATGGTTTAATATTAGTGTTTCATTAGACCTATTAATATTAACAATTTTGGATTAACAGATTAATAGTAAGTTAATTTTAAAATTTATAATAGAAGGTATTTCTTCTGAAGTTATTGACATTTTAGAATTCTTTAAGTAATTCTTCCAAGTGATAAAATGTGTTTTTCAACCCAAGTATAAAATATAATCATCAACACTGTAGGTTAATGTACGAGTATTATATGTTATATTTTATTATATTAATATATAAAATATGTGTTATCTGGATTTGTGCCACAGGTGATCGTGGTAACGACGGCCTATCGGTTGAACATACTGGGTTTCTATACAGACAACACTGCAGAGGCGTCGGGCAACTGGGGACTGATGGACCAGGCGGCCGCACTGGACTGGGTGCAACGGAACATCGAAAACTTCGGCGGCGCGGCGCAGAACGTGACTGTGTTCGGACAGGGCTCAGGCGCAGTGAGCGTGGGCCTGCATGTGGTGTCACCCGGGTCCCGGGACAAGTTCCAACGGGCGATCAGCATGAGTGGGAACGCACTGCTTCGGACGGCCGTGATGACATCGGACGGACCGGAAGCGGTACTTGACGCGCTGGCTGACAAGTTCAACTGCTTCCGGAACACGTTGACCGGGTGCCTGCGGAACGTGGACGCCGAGTTGCTAGTGAAGGGTGGTGGTTCATTGACTCGTTGGGGCCCGGTGGTCGACGGCCTGGCGCTAGCCAACGACAGCAGCGGCCTAGAACCATTTCTACCGGACATGCCGGCCTCGCTTATGGAGGATGGCCGGTTTGCCGCTGTTCCACACATGATCGGCTACAACCGGATGGAGGATGCGTTCGATGCGTTTGACATTGGGGACGGCGGTGGCGGTGGCGGTGAGGGCATAACCAGAGATCGGTTTGAGGCGTTAGTGCGAGAAGACGTCGCGGACGAAGACGAGGACGATCGTCGGATGCGTGAGCTGCGGCGGCTTCAGCAGCAACAGCAACAGCAGCCCGCCTCTACGGCCACCACTGGTGAAGGAGTCAGTGGCCCTTCGGACGGTAGCAGTGTTGGTGGCGTCGCCGATGATGAGGGGAACTGTACGCTGGACGCCGACTTTGTAGTGGACACAGTCGTGTTGCGGTATGCCAGGCAGACGGACGACCCAGAAACTCTGCGCCGGAACTACGTGATCATGTCTGCCAACAAGGTATACGGGGCCACCGGTTACCGGGTGGCCGGTTACGTGTCACGTCTGAATGCCACCTACGTGTACCGGTACGAGTACAAGCTGCGTGCGACCAAAGCGCTGCCTGCCGCCGCCGAGTGGATGGACGCGCCACACGGTGCCGAGCTGCCCGTCGTGTGGGGCATGCCGTACTGGCCGTCGGCTGCGGCCATCGATTGGACGGCAGCAGACCGCCGAATGTCGGACACCATGATGGCAATGTGGACGAATTTCGCCCGGCACGCTGACCCGGCACACAGATCAGCCGCCGTCAACGTCCGGTGGGACGAGTACGAGACGCGCAGCCCCCGCGCCATGGTGCTGGACAAGGTGCCAAACATGTCACAACCTGAACAGGAACCTGAGTTCTGGAACGAGTACTATCCCAAGGTGCTGGCTGTCGCCCTGCAGTGCTGCCCCAATCACACCATAGAATCAGCCGCTACCACCATTGTCGGGGGAGCCGGGCCCGCCACCCTGATTGCACTGGGTCTGATGGCCCTGTCGTCGCCGTTGATCACAGACTCACTGTTGCTGGTGGTGTGAGCACGCCAGCTGACCACACGAATGCCAACCTAATGTTATTTTATCGCATGGACAATGATTATTTCAGTATAATATGCGTTACTACTATAGCTATGTAGTCCTTTAATTATTATATTGTCATTCTTACCAGGTCAGTGAAATGCGTTTTGAATTTTTAAACTACGAGAATGCCAAAAGCGCGCAATCGCGTCTTGGATAGGGGTTGGGCGTCAAGTCGGGAGCTTATCGATTTCTCTCCCTAAAATACTTGTTTTGTAAATGACATTGAATTCACGTGAAATATTACGCACGAAATAAATATTATAATAATTATGTAGGTATTGTATGAAATATCGGAAAACGATAACTGCTCCACTGCACCATCACGCCAGTCGTGAAAGTCGACAATAAGTAGTACCTTACACGAACCACACTGATAATTCGGTTTTATATGTATAAATATTAAATATATATATAAAATATAAATTAAAGCAAATTTATAAAAGTTGTCAAAACAAAAGTCAACAAAAGTATACAAATATTATTATAGTACTGTTGTTTGAATTTCTAAAACAAAAATTACCTAATATATAAAATGTATTAAGGCATTGTTTGTGATATTCAATTATTATAAAGATTTACTGTTAATTTGTGTTATGATGTGTTTTTAGAACTTAATGCTGTATTTTAAATTATTATAGAATTTTTTTATCAGTAGAAATTTGAGAACGGACTTGATTATAGTTACGTTTTGTTTCATAAATCTATACCTACTTTTAAAATTGTTTCCATAAAATATATTTCAATACAATCAAATACTCACATATTTATATTTTATTTCAGAAGTGTCCATAAAATGGGATTTATTTTTCAACAAAACTTAAATTTAAAATTTATTTAGAATTTGAACAATTTCTATAACTACTCTATTGATGATGCATAATATGTATGTAGGTATGTAATAATTACCAACATATATTTTACAGCCAATGCTTTTGCTCAATTCTAGGTACCTACCTATCAATAATTATTTGAACATTTTAAAATTGTATTTAACTGCAATCAAAGTGTGATTTACTTGAGAAACTATCACTTGTACTATCACATAGTTTATGGCTTAGGGTATTATTTTTTCCACAACATGAAATTTTAATATTTCATGCTACTCTCATATTTTTATTATTATGTTATTTAACAAAAATATTACCAATGTAATAATTTTAAACGGAAACCTGTAATGAACAGCTTATTTGTATAAAAAAAATGTTAACGTCATGTGAAATAGTGAAATATTATACTGAACGAGTCTTTTTATTTCTTATTCATAATTGCATTTCAAATCTTGATGAGCAAAATGGTGTACTACAAATCTCGTAGCGTGTTCCTGAACTTGACTCCTCTTTTCTAAACTTAAAATACATGATACAAAAACTAATTCATAAAATATGAATTGATACTTATATTCATCGAAATTATTAGAAAAATATACTGTTTCAGTTTTTAAAATAAAAATAGATATAGCTATACTCGTTTGAACATCAAAAGTTGCAAAGGTAGATTCACTGACAAATACAAAAGGAAAAATAAGGCCAATATTATATAAGACAATATTTTATTGTAGGTATCGCATGTTTCCACCGAGAAACTTTAAAAAAAAATCAATACCTTTCAAAATTATGAGCATTGACTATTAAAAGATTACTCTATGTATATTTATGAAATATATTTTATCGTATGTCATTGTTTGCCGAAACTGCAATGATATTTAATTATAGTGGTAGTATTTAACATCATCCGTGCATTCCATATTTTAACAAACCCATTCCAAATCATTAAAAATAAGGTAAAATAAACTTTTTTCAAAAAAAAAAACCCACTTCAAATATATTTAAAAAGCAATTTTTTTCAATTTACTGGTTCCGTGTCTACAAAATGGCGATGTATATGTACTTCGGTTTTGACCATAATATTTGTCGTTTTCTAGTCTTCACTATTATTCGCACGTACGACGTACGTACCTACTTATCTCACGTACGTACAGAGCAATGTAAATACATTATATAATACACATTCCTTTTAAGTTATAAATTTATAATATAATTCCTTAATCATGCAATTACCAAATAATTCATCTCAGAAGTGTAAAGAGAAACATGTTTCCTACAAAAAACAATTCGTTAAGAGTTTTTTAATAGTTTGTTACAAAAGTTGAATAGAGAAAATGCTTTCAATAAGTAATAACAATAACATTAATGATTTGTTCTGATATTTAGTTACATAATCTATTTTTGACTACACACACGCATGTATGTTTTCTTATGGAATATTATGTACCTACTACCTACCATACCATATTATTACCTAAATGGCTATATCGTTACGATTTATTTGTAGAAATGATCTATCCTATACTATATTTGTTTCTTACACTTTTAGAAATGTTATATCTGTATAATATTCCTAGTATTGAGTTGAAGATGAATATTGTATAATCACCACACACATTTTATTATTGTTTGATAAATAAGATATGTACTCAATATACCAATAATTATTATATAATATTTTATACCTAGTTATTTAGTTATTATAATATGTATGTGGTAATTTAAAATGTTAATGTACACTATATTGTATCTGTAATGTCGCTTATGTGTTATTGCTTACTATAAATAGATGTATAAATTTATAATAATTCTGTTATTGATAAAATTCAATTGATATCAAAATGTTCATACAATTTGAATCTTAACCGTGTGCTGTATAGATACACACCTCAGTAATAAGTTCCATCACCCATTCTGTGGTGCGTAAAATAGATAATGTTTATTGGTAATAAATGAAAACTCCATGCTTTATAGTATATAATATACAAGTATATAGCTATAATGATAGGACCATGTCGTTATCATTTTTCTCATATTTTCTCATTATGGAACTTGTTAATTAAAAATAATAATGAAATTTTAAGGTTCACAATAATTGATAGATACAAATTAATAAAATAGGCTTACACTGTTACTGTTTTTGTGTATAAGTTCATTGCAAACGTGACATTTTTGGACGATTCCTAAAATTACAGAGAAAAGGTTTTTGTACTGTGTGCATCCTAGTTGGGCCCTAAGTACTAGTGGATAATTATAAGACACAGGTACTACACTCATTGAGTCCCTAATCATAGGTATTACACTAGTTGGGTTCCTAATATTTTTTGGTAATTATTATAATACTGTTCTAAAATTTTACTTTCCATTTTAAATTTTAATAGACTTAGGAGTTAGCACAGTCTATAATGGTATAATATGTTTAGACCAAAGGTGTGTTTAAAAGTAATTTTTAGTTTCTTTGCTTTTAAAAATATAAATCATAGGAATTTTACAAATCTTGATATAATAATATTCATAGAGGTAAAATACCAAGAATTAATGTCATAAACATTTGAACTATAACAATCTCGAGCCCGATTATTATAGCAATTTTATGTTCGGGACCCAATCCGGATGCAGCCAAAAATCTATACTATTTGGGCACCAAATATCGGCACTTTTATCGATTAGAGGAGGAAATTAAATTAAGGTTCAGGTCAGTTTCTGGTCCCAAAATGTTCAGAGGGTTCTCTGTTCAAATGGCCTACTTACTTTAAAAATAATTAATAATTACTATACATATATTTGATGGATTCATGACGACGTAAATTCAAACTTGAAATAAAATAGCCTATTTTTTAAAAAAAGTTGAAAAAATACTAGTTTATGTGAAATTGACACGAATATATTATGATAATTTTAACATTATATTAAGAACCGGATGTATATTTATAATTTTACTATATTATATTATTCTACTTATTTATAGAATAGATACATAATTAAATATTTATCTTATAATAACTTATAATATTATAATAAATATCAGTAATTTTAGAGCAATATAGAACATTTACCATACCAATACATAATATAGTATTATTTTTTGTTCTAAAGATTTTACTGAACAAATTGTGTTTGTTTTTGATTTTTTTAGTGTATATCTTATATACAGGCATATTAATCCTCAAATGATGCATACTATAAACAGTACACTGTAATATATTATATATACTTATCATTTATATTTTTGTTTACTAAAATGATTGATCAAGAATTATATGAAATAGAACATAAGGGTGAACTTTATGTAAGTATTAATATAATTAAAACGATAATACACTGTATCACTATTGTCTATTTAGGCCATTTTTATTCACCTAAGAAAGCTAAAATATAACCACAATTTTCTTTTGAATAAATAAAATAGTAATAAAAGTATTTTTTTAGTAGATATATAGAGTCAAACATTTGGACATTTATGCTCTGAGTTTATTCTTTATAGATTTACATTGTTGATTAGCAAACTTGAATAATGTTATTACATTTAATAATTTCTTGAAACTCGAACTTTTCTACCAATTATAATTACTAATACATTCAATTGAGTAAAGTAATATTTATTAAGTTTTCACCTATATATATGTACCATTATATATTTATTTTAATGTAAAGAATACCTTTTTTGTTCATATTAGTTTAATCCAACTACCTAAAAAAAAAAAAAATAATACAATATAAATTACTGGTAAATGGAACTCTTAAATTAAGTACCTAGTATTTTTCTTTTTACATCAATTTATTAGCAGAAAAACTATTTACCTCAACATATTATAATATATTATTATACTAGTTTTTATACAAAACTTAATTTAATTTTTTTGGATAAGTGAAATAAGTAAATTTACTTAAATGTTTAGTTGTATTCTACTAAAATATTAATATTATCTATATACAAAAGTAAATAAATTATTAAAGGTATCTAATGTATATTACAACTATTTTAGTTAATTTTAAACTTAATGGATTGTTGTTTCATAATAAAAGTCAAAATGTCTAATAGTGTACTTCGAAATTCTATGACTAGATATTAAATATTCTATTAATTATACATAAATATTAAAAACTAAATTATTCTTTTTTACATTAATTGTCATAAATCTTGAGTTTCATTTTTTGGTAGAACGATTTTATAATCAAAATGTATTCATTTTTTCAGTCAGTATAATATTATACACTAAAACAAAATATTATATATTAAATATATTACACAAATATAACTTATAATTAACAAATACTTTTTAAGATGAAAGAAGGGACAAATGTACAAGTAAGTATAATAAATTAAATGTAATAGTTGTATAGGAGACATTTAACATTGGCTAATAGACTTAACTATTAAATTAAAATAAGTATTACAGCATTTTCGAGAGAACTAAATACCAGCAGAAGAAGAAGAATAATACAGCGTTATTATATGTGGCATCATAAAACTGTAATAATTTTACTTACAAAAAATTAAAAAAGTATAAATTATATATATATATATATATTACAGGTTCTACAGGTTTCCGAATAAACATGTGTAAATATTAGAATATAATTCTTGAACCAATATAGTTACCGGGGAAATTATTCCTATGTATACGTACACATTTACATTAATATTAGACACGTGCCTACTAGCATTGATTATAAATACTAATAATAATTTATAATCAATGGTTCAAGTAACATAATAATATTATTTCTGTAATCCAATTATTTACAAAAAACCAAATTCAAATGTGATACCTATGAACTCCATTTAATTTTAATTTTTAGTATTTATCTGTGTGTCATTATCTTTAATCACAAAGTTTTAGACCGTTATAAAATGTATAAAATTGCTTTCTCATGTTTTAATTATATACATTTAAATGTAATTTTAAATACAATGCTGTTAAAATTGTTTACAATTTATTGTTTAAACATAAATGTTTATAGATAGGTGCTATAAGCATTTTATTTTTTGTCAAGACATTCTAAAGAATATTTTAATACACCATGGTATTAGTGAATTTAGTCTGCTTAGATATCAAATCAATATTTATGAGAAGGATAAATAACATTAAAAAAAAATTCCATTAATACCTTTTAAATGTCTTGGAAATGTAATGTTTAATATAAGATATAAATACAATGTGTAGATATGTATTTAAGTTTAAACATACATTTAAAAAAACTGTATTTAGCAATTATATTTTTTTCATGAAAATGATACAATATACAAAATTATTTTGTTTATTTTAATCATGGCAGGTAATTAGTATAAAAATATGAACTTTTCACTGGAGATTTTTTTGTTAAATTTTTTGTTTTATAAAAATTGTTTTATTGTTAATTTGAAGTTTTATGTCTACACAATTTTAATAAAAACTAACGCGGTCTTCAAATACCATCATAGCATAAGTAATAACTTACTTTGCTCAAAATATAAATGAAAAAAAAAATTATTAAACGTTCCATTCAAAATATTATTCTATTCATACAGTTTTTCAATACTCACATCAGTTGACTTTTAATATATTTAGAGAGTTCATCGTTTTTTTACAGTTAGCTATAAAGGGACTTGTAATAACTAATAGGTAATAATTAATAAGTACCAATGATAAAACATGAAAAATTGAATGATCAATTGGTTACTCGAAATACATTATGTATTTTCTGGTAACATTAGTGAACATAAAGCAAGAAAATTAAATAAAAATAAAAAATGTACTGGTTATTTTGTTAACACATACAAAATGTATCATGTGTAAAACTGCTGACTAATTTAAAATTAATGTATGAAATCAAATTACAAGCAGTAGACCCTGCAGGATTTAACAAATTGTTAATACCTAGGTACATAGGTGAGCTCAAGGGGGAAGAGAGGTTAACCTCTCACTTGACTGTTAAAATGTTTTCGTTCAATACATTTTCGTTATTAAAAAGTGAAAAATTTTTAAATTCCTATTTAAATATTAAAAACATTTTAAGCCCCCCCCCCATCTCTCATTCAAAACTCCGGAGCACACCACTGATTACCTACCCATAATATACCTATGTGTTGCAGGCCATACAAAACGAGCTTTGTTTTTAATAATTATACCTATCGTCCGGAGGCGATGGTATAAATGTAAAATTGGCACTTAAAACTATAAATTGGTTAGAATTATGAAATTATAGGAAAATATGAATGTGTGGAATAATATGGCACGAAATACGAATTCAAACTATACATTCAAATCGAACAGACCCTCGAAAATTAGGGACATACACAGTACACATTCCAAGAATATTTATAATTTGTATTATACATTGTACAAGAACAACGAAAGAATAATAATTAGTTATTCGAGTACTTTATCATTTTTTCTGGGTATTTGGGGTGTCTGTTTTGTTCTATAAGCTACATTTCATTATATAATATTTTGGAAACCCATGTCCGCATTTGAGGGAGGTACCAGATACCAGTAGGCAGTGGGATCGCCCCAATGTACTAAAATTATTAACTCAGGGCCTCTCACGAATAAAGGTATGGGAGCTCACATCTATAAATCTGCCACAATCAATAGGGCAGATTGTTATTGGTACACATGTATATTTTTTACTTAAATTATGTGGTTTGTACATAATTATGGTAATGAACAAAATAAAGGGAAGTTAACTGGAGGTTGGTCGAAGGAAATTTTAATTTTATCCTGAATCTTATTTTTTCCCTGATTCGAAGAACAATGTCCTAATTATGATTCGCAAATATGTTTTATCGAAAACGTATTCCCCGATAAGACCAAAAATTGAATAAAAAGAAAATATGGAGTTCAAAATAATAACAAAATAGTTACAGTTTATTGTATTTAACAATGCTACGCTGTTGTGAGGTGATTAATTCACATTACAAATCATCTATTTCGAATTTGAATACAACTGCACAAGCTGTGTAGAAACAAAAACCCCGCGAAGGACGTCCAATAAAATAAACTATCATACTGCGTTGATGAAGGTCTGGATGGGAAATTTTCAAGGGGTAAGCGCCAAGAGTTTTGTTTTATTATTATGCTGTCTAATGGAATATATATTTGGCCATCAAGATTTTGACACCGGACCGAGTGTTTAATATGCATTTATCCCCGAAGTTTAGAATTTAGCGAAACAATAACATTGAATTGGCACTAACTCCAGGTTACCATAATATTATTAGATTAATAATTTATTGTATTACGGGTAAAATCAGAGCGCGTGGTTGAACTCCTTTAACATCATAAACATTATACGTATTATTATGACTATGTTTACACACCCTGTACGCGATAATATAATATAATAATTTAATAGTGTTTCAATGAGATAATCGTATTGTATGTATACGATAATAATATATTTATATTGTCGAATAGAGTAGATACCTATACCTATATTGTTTATTACCATATAGGAATTATAGTAGTGAACTGCAGTTTAACGTTGCTTATAATAATAGGTATGATAGTGTTACAACAGGTAAGTCGTACTATTTATAATTTAGTTATACTACGTAGGTACCTGCCTAATAATAATAATATTATATTTATGTGTGCTACATTATTAAAGGTATAGTGTTTAAAGTTTACAGGTTGAGTTTCGCTGTAGTCACATCCGACTTGTAGGGCTGGAACAGTTTGTTTTTGGCGTACTCCTTGTGGTAGACGTGCTTGTGGACTGCCAACGAACATTCCGCAGTCTGTATGTCATCCCTACCGGTTTCGGGTGCACTGGCAGTCATGAAAAACGGTTGTGACGGCAAGCGGTCAGCGGTGGCTGGTGGCGTAGACTCGTCCATCGCTCCGTTATTGTTAACCGGTTTTCCGGAAGTGGTCAGCACGCAATCGACTATGCCGCACTTGCAGCTCGTACCGGCGGCCGCGCCGGAAAAATCGGCGGCGTCCGCAGCCGACGACGATGACGACGACGATGTCGTGGCCGCCGCGGTCGTCGTCTTATGGTTTTCCACAGAGGTCGAAGGCGTTTTTTGATCGGCCGCCGCAAGCTTGTGGCCGTCATAACTGGCCGCCGCGTGGTGGAGGCCATTGCTGGATTCAGCCGCGGAGGCGTCGGTGGCTGCGGCCATGGCAGCGGCATCAGCCGCGAACTGATGGTGATGGTGATGGTGGTGATGGTGGCCCACGAACGGCCCGAACGGTTTCTTCATCATCTGCTGAAGCGCCTGGGTAGGCGGTCCCGGAGGCGGTTGTGGCATCGGACCGACGTAGTGCTGAGGCTGGAACTTACCGTACTCTCCGCCGCCGCCGCCGCCTCCGGGGCCGTGGAAGTAGGACGGTCCAGCGGCCGCGGCCGCCGCCGCTGCCGAGTACTGGTAGGCATTGGCAATGGCCGCTATGTCGGGCAGCGTGCCGTTGGCGTGCGCACTGGCCGCGGCCGCTTGCAGCACCGTGGCCGCAAACGTCGGGTCCGTGTACACGGCATACGGCCACGCCATGGCGATCCTCTGCCGTTTGTCCTTCATCCGCCGGTTTTGAAACCACACCTGAAATCATTAACCGAGAATACTCGTTGACGTGTGGCAGATAAACAACAGGCAAGATGCCGTGTCAGGCATAAATGGTAGCTATTGCTTATATCAACACTGCTGACCGATATCGAGTAAAATGGTTATATTATAATATTCAAGAATTAATGTAAGGTGCTAGGAATATATCAAGAAACAATGAAAATAATTTAGGTACTCAATAAGCTAACAATCAATACATCGTCTATTTTTACGATGACAATAAATTAAAAAACAATATTACTAGGTTCATTCGACGCATACAATTATTATAAATAATTTAATAGTTATAATTAAAAATGACCTTCCATTTTGGGAAAGTGATTTTAAAACCGGGAATTGCTTATTATGGCATATAACATATTATATCGATGGTCAAAAAGTCAAAATATCGTAACCCTCACTTTAGTTTAAAAATGTGGTTACAACGAAATATTACATTTCATATAATTGTCTTGCGTTTACCCAATTTTCGTAACCAATAATTTTTAATATTACATATAGGAAATCACATAGTAAGTGCATATGTATACAATTGCATGGCTACAATAACTGTCGTAATTTTATACAAACCGTATTACATCTTGTCTAACAAAAAATATTCCGGTTGATACAAAGTCAGACCAAGTGTAAGGTCATAAAAATTGGTAAGGTTTTTAGAAGAACTGAAAATTCACTATTATACTCATTTAACATACAACTCTTGCATTTAGAACGACGCAGTTATAGCACTCGATTTAAATATTAGTTTTGAGTGAAAGTGAAATAGACTCACATTTTAATAAAAAAGATACAAATTGACACAAATTGGGCACAAAATATTTAGGTTTGTTAGATGTGGAAATAATGACTTATAGGAGTGTCAGGATGACTCCCATCAAATCATGCTACCAAGATAAGTTACCATGATATTTTCTTTCAGTAAAATCGATATAACTATTATAGTTGCCTTGACGAATTTTTAGACATGACTATGATTGTCACAGATTTATATTTATAAATAATATTCCGTACTAACTAATCACTAATATGTAATAAGTAATAACACTCTGTTATATACTTATCAACTTTATGCCTATGTCCCATTATATAATATCTCTTCAGCTAGACCGCCTATGAATATTATTAAGCCAGCAACAATACAGCGAATATATAAATATCTATAAAATGACATACCTTTATCGTCGATTCGGGAAGATTCAATTCGGTAGCAAGCTCGCATCTTCTTGGCCTGGACACATAATTTTCTTTATAAAATTCTTTTTCTAATCGAAGTAACTGTTCTCTCGTGAACGCTGTTCTATACCTTCTTATAGTTTGATCCGCTGTACCATCTAATCATCGATTATTATTTATTAATACATTTGAACAGCATTTGGAGAATATTGATTGTTTAAATAAATATTTTATTATAGGGCATAATTGTTATCATTATTTATAACTAATTAGTTGATATATAAAACGGTACATATATTTGATAGGTAATTCAATAATATTGTTGTGTGCATCTTTATATATTTTACACCAATGAAAAATGTTTATGCGGACTAAATTATTTTAATGAACGCTTATTTTGACACACATGCATTCCCTTGCGTTGCAATAACCATTGGACCTATTATTAAAATATCATAAATTATCTTAATTTTATTCAATGTTTTTCAAGTTGGCACCTGAAAATTATGCTAGGATTATATACACATATTTACCTAACTAATAAGAAAAATGTGTTTTTGTTGAATTTTCATGTGCGGTTTTGGATTTTGCTATGGGCATCTGAAATTTTTAAATCTACGAACAAACATGACGTCTTTGCAGGTGCACTGGCTTTATTCAGAAAATACAAAAATAATAAACAAAAATTTTCATTTTCATACTATGCTAGGATCTCTAGCAGTCATTTATATGGGAGGTTTTAAATTTATAGCATCAGTATCATGATGTGGGCATTGCTATGTTTGTGTATTCATTTTTGTGTTTTGAAAGCTTACCAAAATCTATTAAATCTGCCTGAATGATTGTTTTTGAAAATTGTCTACTAAAGTTCATCTTTATAATGGTAATATAATTATTTCAATTTCCGGATTTTACCGATAAGTCCGCAACGATGACACCGTAATGTTTGTACATTTGCAAAGTTTAGTGAACCTATCAAAATCGAATACATTGTTGAAGATAGTTATATTATTTTAGCATAATGACATAATGTGTATTGGTGATAACTTAACGGACATATTGTATAGAATAAAGATCACGCGACGTTTGAGATAGGCTATTTAGTTACACAGATTAATTTTTTCCGATAAATAAAAGAGTGAGACATATTTTGATCTACTTGAACTTCACCACCATGAGAAGCGATTACAGGATAATATTTGAAATGTATAAATATTTTGTACAATTAATGTATTCAATTACAATTTAAAATTACGATTTTAATACTGTTTTTAAGGTTGTCCTAATTAAATCTGAATTTTTTTTATTCTTAATAATTAGTGTTGTCTTAAGTAAATAGTTTAATAATGTAATTAACTAATTGACACTTCAAAAGATATTTCATTTAAAATGGTATTACATCAGTTTTGAAAATACTACCTACCTAAAATAACATACATAGAACAATAATTATTTTGTTTAGGTAGGTTTCATAGTTAATGTGAATCATTCACAAAATATATTTTTGGGTTAATTTTGAAGTTTAAAAGTTTTAACTATAAATAATATGCAGAACACTTTGAATTAAAATCAACACATAACACATTGATGCTCTATTACTTGATGGACTACTGCCGTACAGCAATTATTTATTTCACAGAACTTCAAGATCTGAACAACCACCCAACTATAAAAAAACTTGGTTGTATGAATAACAAATATTAATAATTGAATTATTGATATTATGATTTCCAACTTGAATATTACTTGTAAAGGAACTATTGTTTAACTTTAAAATGTACCACGCTTACTTTATTGCAGTGGTTTAAAAACATGTATTATTATTCGTTTTTATAATTTAAATCCTTAAGTGTTATCTGTTATGTTATAAGCACTTACCTTTGTTCTGTTCAGAGTTTGGCCTGTTGTCCAACCTCAAATTATAGTTTTGTAAATCATTCTCTAATTTTGGCAATGGAAGTTTGGTAAACATTAAACTGTTTTGACGATCTAAGCCTTCTTGATCGGATGACGGTTGGTTTGAACTGTTTGATCGTGACAAACAAGCATACGTTGAGTTATGCATTTCTCAGTCAATAGTTGTATATTTTGTGTAAGAACCATTACAGTCTTAATACTGCCTAAAATGTAAAAAAAAAACTAACAATGTACTATTTAATGTATTTATTAGTGGCTGAAAATTTGATACAAAATATTATAGATAATATTATATATAGAAATATTTATAGTTTTTTTAAACATTGAAGTAAATTAGTAAATACAATTGATAAAATGAACAAATTATTACTAATATTTCACAATATTATTCAAATCTAAGTTTAAAACACTGTACATGATATTATAATATCAGCGTTCTTCAAGTCTTGTGTAAGCTAGGGTGGCCATAATCGTTACTGGTTTGAGAAGTAATATTCCGTATCCCAGAGGACATTTTTCAAGAAATAATATTTTTATTTTAGTAGTATCATAATTCATAATAATGATCACAGGGTTTAAGAAATCCATAAGCGCTAAAATTAGTGTTTATTTATAAACTGGTGTTTTTGAAATAACAGTGAACTTGACAATATTTTTCTTTAATTTGGTTTTTGGTTTTATTTTATAAATTCATTTCAAAACTCATAGTTTGTAAAAAATTGAATACTAGTCACTTAAGAGTTTACATTTACCTACTCTCGACCTTATTTATGCAATTACAACTTTTCTAAGTTCATATATTAAATATTTGAATCATTAATACTGAGTCACAATTGTCAAATTTTAATACGTCGAATATGTTATTACACTGCAGCGGCGAGTTGAGATAAGTTAAGTATTTTACCTCAATTTGTTCTGAAAATACCGCATTGTACATTAACATATTATATCTCATCATAATAAAAAGTTTCTGTATACTTATCTTGTTTATAATATACTTTTATTTAAAAATCCTTATACAGTCAATTTCAATAAACAAATTGGGGTGAATTGTGGTTACTATCGTTGTACACATGATAATATTTTTACGAAATTTTTGAATGACCCATTTGCACACAAAATAATAAACAATGAAAATACATTTTCAGATAGAATCTAAGTATTTGATAGAAATACAGCTTGTTCTGTGTGTCATCTGGATGATGAAACTAAACTATAACAATATAATAAAATACCTTATTAGAGTTTATAAATGTTTATTTGAAGAAATATTATGGTATTATGGTAACAAATATTCGAAATTAAAAACCTTGTGTAATAGGTATTTACACGGAAGTTTTAAATTGTACGTATTTTTTAATTCATACATTTGAAATTGATAAAAAATCTATTATACTTAAGATCAATACTATATAGTTTTATTTGAAATAAAAATAAATATATTTGTTTTATTTTATTGTTGATGGTTTAAACAATTTTATTTTGGAACTTTATGGACTATACATTTATTTTTATACATATTCTTATTACTATTTTTCAAATAAATTCCTCTAATTTTATCGTTTATTTTATTATACTATTTATATACAATTTAGATAAATTACTATTGGAGATGTTTATAAGGATATAATTGAAACACATTTATGTGCAAAATGGTTAAGATGGTTCATTACATACTACACAATTATTGCCTAAGTTAAAATGATGTAAATATAGGGGAACAGCAATAATGAATTTGATATATTATAAGGGGATTATTTTTCTTAAAATAGTTTAAATGTTCACTTGAATTCAATTGTATTAAATATTATTATACATAATATAATTTAAAAAATAATATTCCACAAATAGTAAATGTCTAATAGATGAAAAAAAAATTTAGCTTATAAATGTAAATAATTTATTGTAATTATTATTAACTGCTAAATTTTATTATAAATAGTTATATAAGTAGTATTAAAATATAGTATTCAAATATGCGTATTTATTATGAAGTCTGTAATTATAACACAATAAATTAGTATAAAAAAACTCGTTTTCAAGCAATACCAAAATACTGTAACTATCATTGTATCAACGAGGACCTTGTACATAGTTTGTGATCGTGAAATGTGGTACCTACGCCTTTAAATATGAAAGTATGTAATATGTATTCACTCTTTTATGTTTTCCTATTTTTATTTAATAAATGTGTTTATAAGTAATTTGAACATAAAATGCCTAGAGTAGCAAATTAAAAAAAAAATATTTGTACAACTCAGGGCGCCATATATTTTTATCAATTATGAAAATTAATTTTAAGCTCATAGAATAATCCTTAATAATAATTACTCCAATTATTAATGAATAATAATTTAATTTCAATAGTATAACGTGCATCTTACTTTTAGTTAACCCAACCAATGCGTCTATCATACATCGTTGGACAATAACTAATGTTGGACAAATAAACAATAAAAAATTAGTTTATTATTAAAAACAATATAAACTATCATTTTTTTTTAAATTTTGGCTTCCTCATGAAGACTGGGGAGGAAAATAACTAAATAAATTTCTATAAATTAAATATTAAACCTCTACAAGGTACGTACATATAACATTTATATATAGGAATAAAAAAATATGGTTTCAAAACGATTTAAAAAAAATATGTAGCGGCAATCACAATATCCTGGGATAATTAAACCAGTTCCACCCATTAAAATGTACAAATATTACAAAGTTTTGTGTAAAAAAAACATAATAAATAAATTGCTGTCAAATGTTTATATTACAATGGACTAACAAAATTCAGTTAGTGTGTAAATGTAATATCTGAATGAACTTTTTAGAACGGGTAATAATAAGAGATATAAATTTGGTTGAAAATGTGCAATGCACGAACAATATTCATATATTATATACTATTATTACATATGGATTATAAATGTAATATTACATTTTAACGAGCTGAAAAATATATTAAATTGTGATGACAAAGTATACATTATTATGCTGTTAAATAAACAGAAAAATCATTGCAATAAATAAAAAAAGATGTGCAAAATATTTTATTAAAGTGAATAAATTAAGTATGAAAAATAGTTTGTGCTATTTATAATAAATATTGAAATAATACAATTAATACAATAAACACAATCGAATTTATTAATTTCTGGATTATCCAAATAGAGGTAACTGCTGAAAAAGCACGAATGACCATTTTTTGTAATCGTTTTAATAAAGTGTAAGATAAAATTATAAAGATGTAATTGTAATTTATTAATTTATTTTTATTTCTAGCTTAAATTTGCCCTGAGATACTATGTACTATTAAGTATTGTAATGTTCATTAAAATAAATACATTTTCATAATTCAACATTGTAATACATAATATTTAAATCCTACAGTGTAACGCATTCTATTATAAAATAGATACAATGTTTCAAATTTTCAATGTGACATACATTTGAAAAAATACTCTTATATTTCATACTTGTATTGCAGATAATAGTATAATACTTATTATTCACTTTAAATAGGTAGTATACGCACCGTTTGATTATCTATCGGGTCCTTTTACATTCTCCGCAACAGAAAAATCCAACGGTATTTGCATTCAGTTTCATGCAGTTAATAAGTTTCTGTAATAAAATAAGAGCTAACCGAAAAATTCTTTCCTCTTGTTGCAACAGTCATCGGTTAGTACCTACTACTTAGGTGCTACTGGTCATAGGTATATAATACAAATTATAATTTTATTATTCCAACCATAGGTACTTATTGGTTATGAGTTATTTTAGACAAAAATCATAATGTTGACTAAGTCATTGTACGTACCTAATAGTATAATTATAGTATTTAATAGATAATAGGATTCTAAAAATAAGGAAAGTTGAGTTTATTGACAAATAATATTTGCTATACCTATTCTTGTAGGTTAGATACATGTATAGAATTTAAATCAAACATTTTAGATAGTGATTGAAGTAGGTACACATTTGAATCTAGCGAAATGATCGAGTTGGTACAATACCTACTACTACATATTATTGTGTTTGCGTATGTACCTATGTGCACGAACCTTACGTATACGTACCTATATATTATAAATTATAATAGTTTATCCGTTGTTTTTCGTTAGCGCATTTATTACATAGACTGGTCGAATAACGGACTAGTAATTTATACATCAGTAATCCGGCCTAAATATATAAATATTTATACTCATAGGTTTTTCTCTCGGCCATACGCGAGTTATATTGGACCATAAGGGTTGTAATAATTTATTTATAAAAGAATCGATGTACCTGCTGCTAGCCTTGCATAATATATAATCTAATATCATATAGAGGAGTATATTATTAGAATCGTCTTTCTAACAGGACAACCCAGTACCCACTATAATAGCATTACGGCTGTATCTACACTTTACCTACATCTTACCAGCGGCATATTCTCTTGAAATGAATACCATGTAGATATGTTTATAATATTATGTTGCTTAGTAATTTGTATAATAATGTATAAAAATAGAATTTAAATAGGAAAACTGAAGAGAGTCTTAAATTGGAAATTTAAAATTATTTATATTTAAATTGCAGTACCTCTATTTATTTAAAGGAAACTATAAGCAACAGAATAAAATATTGTGGAAAAATCAGAAAAATATTAAGAGATCTAGTATTATTTTTGTATAAACCAATAATAATTGGAGATTAATAATTAATTTTAGATAGGTAGAGTATTTTTAGGGTGTAGAGTTAAAATGTAGTTATCTATGCATATAGTATAATGTACCCCTAAAAATATTTACTACTTATATTGCTTCTTAATAAATCATTAAATTTCTCATCAACTGTGTTTAATTATTTTATGTTTAGAAATTTATTATTAGACCTGATTTTAGTATTTTACTGCAGTGTGTGTACAAATATTTATATATTTAGTTCAAAACAACAGTGAACAGATATTATACATTTATACCTATTACCTATGTTATTGTTGTAATTTTTTAGAAGAATTGACTTAATTAGCAAGGTATTGAGTTGATAGGTCAGTGCATTATTAATAGTGCATAATGTGTACAGCGTACAGATGCGAGATTTCATTAGTAATCTATTATATTTTATTACTATAAACAAGAAGAAAGACACATACATTTTTTACTATTAGATATAGAAATTAATATTTATAAGATATTAAATTATATATTTTATTGGATGCCTACCTATTTATCAACCTATACTAAATAATTTATTACTTATATATTCCCATTAAGATATAATTTATTTACACAATATATTTAACTTTTATTTAACTTCCTTGATGGATCGTTTGTATGAAATGAGCCAATAAGCACATAAGTGGTTACAAATGGGTTACAATAAATACCAATGATGCCTATTAAAAAAAAAAATATTACCAAATAAAAATTATAGTAATTTATTGGTGTGCTTTCTTGGACTATATTATCTATGCTTTTAATTAAATAATAAACGAAACTAATATTTAAGTACATATTAAATAATAATAAATAATAATGCAGCTATAGTTATTAGAATAAGGAGGGATAATTTAGTCAGATAATACTCCAAAGTTGATTCAATTTAATCTTAATAATACCGATCTGAAAATGTAGTTATTTAAACTATTATCTATTTATAATCAAGAATTTGAGACTAAGTTAAAATTGTCTCTCTGACAAATAATATCCTGCAGCTTTTCTTCGGTAATAGTAAAATTAAAATTAAAAGTAGTCAGGTAGTCAGGTATTTCATACAATAAAATATGTAGTAAGCATTACTTTTTATCAACATATTATGATATGACGGATATATTGTATACATATTATTATTATACTTGTGCATTCAATTATTAAAATAAATATTTCAATTAGTTGTAATATTGTATTTTATTTAATGATCTGGTATATCTAGATACGATAAGTAGGTATTTTTTTACAAGTCTTAATGTTTTTTGTACATTTTTAAAATATTAGTTATAATTATTTATTTATATAATATTAACTCATATACGAATATGATATTTAATCATAATAATGCTGTGCCAAAAGTTGGTTAAAAAAAAAGTATCATTAAATATTGATACAATATACCCATGCAATTATGTATTCAATTTGTATTAAATTGTCAATCTTTGCACTTCTCTAATGTAAAATTATTTTTATTTTTAAGTAAAACAGCATTGGTTTATAAACATTTTAGTATATGCCCTTTTAAATAAGACATAAATAACTTAAATAACACTTAGGTACCTAATACCTAAATTAGTCACTTTTTTTCTATTTATTATTTGGTTTCTTATAACTATTGAATAGTGAAAATAGTTATAGACACCGGACCGATTAAATTTTAAGTATAGAACATAAAAATGAAACTGAATATTATGTCATAGAAAACACCTTAAATACTATTTGTTAATTATTATCTTATGTGTGTCTACAAAAACCAAATTCTATAAATCAATTTTCATTTTTTTAAACAGTACAATACAGTTATAGGAGCGATAAAAATTAAGATTCAGTGTAGGTATCGCTGCAGTATAGGAAAATGGATATGATAGTATAGAACTTCAATCTAAAAATGTGAACAAAATTTGCGAGTTGCAGAAACATGTATTCAAGGATTGATGAAACATGAAAATATAAATATTATATTAAAGAATAGTTTTGCTGGTTTTGGTCAAATTAAATTTAGTGTAGATCAAGTGGCTGATCAACCATCAACGAATAAGACATTTTCTTAGAACTTAACGTAAAAATATCTCAAATCAATCAAAATAATTCCAAATGATAGGTAATCAGTTATAATACTTATAACTACGCATGCTGGTATTTTATTAAAACTTGAAAGTTTACTTTCATTTCATAAATATGATTCAAAGATTGTCGGCAATTTTTTATGGTACTTAGACGACAATAGACATGCTAATGTGATATGGAAAACCACATTTTCAGACTACACCAGTCACACTGGACTTTCATCTTTTATGTTATACGGCTACATATTTACTTATCTACTAATGTTTGAAAACATAGACAACATATATACAACATATATGTCCAGAAAAAAATTACCTGGGGTCGAATCTTATGTAATTACGTACATATAGCTGGTAATCTATATTCTATGTGCTTGCTTACTAAAAAAACCCATTCAAAAGGCTTTCTTTTCTCGACGTCCGGAAACCCACCATCGCAATGTCTCCATGGGTCGACATGAATATTATATCATTCCGATTTTAACCTATAATATCGTGGGTCGTATGCCTACTCACCTTATAATTGGCGACGAAACAGTAACACGTCGTTGGTGGCGGTGGATATGTTTCGTGGTAACCAATCAACCACAGAAATATTGGCGACCGGCAACGGCGTTTACAAGACTGCAGCTTCTGCGGCGGTGGCGTCGAGCGTGTCGCGTGTATGTGCGGACTGTCGCGTGTGCTCGCGTGTGTGCGCGTGTAGGTTCGCGTGGACGACAAAAAGATCCGTCGTGACGCGTGTCGGAAAAACGATCTGCCGTGGAAGCAGAGGCGGCGGTAGAACGGCAGATAGGCCGGCGGTAGGCGCGGCGCGCGAAGGGGCGGATGGCCGGAGACGACGGGCTTATAGTAAACGTGGACCGAGGTGGGGGTGGAGGAGAGAATAAATCGGTTTTTAATATTGAACGTCCTTTCCGGTTTGGCTGACGACGATAATATATCTGGTCCGACTGTCTGTCCTGTCTCACTCACCCTCTCTCTCTCTCTCTCACACCTTCTCTTTCACTCTCACCCTCTCTATCTCTCCACCCCTGGTCAATCTCTCTATCTTCGTCCCTTTCGCGAGTGCGCCTGCGTATCTTCGTCCGCGCATAAAACGCACAGCTACATTACGTTCTCTATGTATGCGTGTATAAAGCGGCGGCGCTCGCGAATGCGTTATAATAAGGTATATTATCGCGCTGTGAAATGAGACTCATGGGCCCCTCGAGGATACTATCGCTGCGTCCCTCCCTCTGTCGAGTCGGTGGCAGTGGCGGCGGCAGGGACGGCGTTCATCCCTCTGGCGATTGGTCCACTCCCATTTTAGCACCATGCACACGCCTTCCCTCCTTCCGACCAGTATATACGCGCTCGAAATTGATTTCCTCTGTGACTACGATTATACTCGTTCTCTGCACGCTGTGGTGTTTGGGGGTGGAAGTAGGCATATCAAGGGGAGGGCGTGGCTACTGGTGGTCGGGGTGTGTTTCGCGCGCGCGCGAGCCCACCCGCACATTCCAACCGGCGCACCCTCCCCGCGAACTCGCGTATCATCCCTCCACTACGTAGTCGGAATCGTCGTTATATCCGCGACGGCGGCAGGGAGCAAACTAATAGCAACGATATTAAGGATTTAACGGCGTGAATAATGGTTGTCGTTCAGATTGTTTTCATGAGTATTTCATTTGCCCTCACCACCTCAGCATCATCCACCTCTTCTTCCTCCTCAACCACCTTCACGCGCGCCACTTACCCGATCGTTTCTCCAATAATATCATGTGTACACAATATACATATACATTATACACATATATATTATGAATATATATATATACATATCATATACCCTACCTCTCCTAACACCCGCAAACCGTGCATACTATGAGTATATATTATTATCGCACACATGGGGTACACGAGAGCATAGACATATTGTGCGCACACGCCCACACGCCCCCTCACGTTTAAATAAGTAGTTGGATATAATAATATCTATCATATTATCATATCACATTATTAAAAGGTATAAAGGTTTGTATACAAAAATAGATATATATGTATCGTAGACACATGTATCATACGAATATGATTATAATATGATGGTAAGAATATAGGTATATGTATGTACCGTGAGGCACGAGTAATGGTGCATATATAGGTATACCTTATATCTAATAATATTAACCTATGTGTCGTCTAAGCATTATGAGATTAGCTTCATTTGATTGGTGATTTTTACAATCTTAAAAACATGTTTATTGTTGATAGATAACTTTGAATTCTTACAACTATACCATGGAAATTGCAAATGTTAATAAACTGTAGTAATTAGTAAACATAACCGACACATGTAATATAAAACATACCTAGTTACAATCATATTGATAGTCAGTATTACATTTGAATGTGCTAGGGTATATGACTTATATAGTTATTCGTTATAACAAAATAAAAATATCTATGTTCATTACACAGAGCTAGTGAATAATATAGTATGCTCGCAACTCCTTTTTTCTTCATTAATGCAGTTACTCAAAATCTGATTTTTGGAATTTTTATATATAATATTTAAATACGAACTTAAAGACTATATTTTCAAACTCGTGAGATTTTTTTACTACTTAAGGAGCGTCATGTGATACTATAAAACTTTTGTTCTTCGAGTTATTTAACTTAATATACTATAAAATAATAGTTTCATGACAATGGGTTTAGAAAATATAGGGGCTATGGGGATTTAAACTTTTTAGTTATTAATATTATTCTAACAAAATGTATAGTTTCTAAAATAGTTGTGGAAGTAAAATAAATGCTAAATACTATATAACTTCTATTTTATATCTTTGTAAGACCATTTCTAAGTAATATTATCCTAAGTATAAACATTGTAATGCTTATAATTCTGAAACTACTCATTCAAATTTTGAATTAGGTAGATACTATACAAGACCATGTTGGAAATGTTTCTTATTTAAAACAAAATTTTGTATCGCTACAGAAAACGTTTAAGTACTATAAATAATTTCAACAATTTAATAATATGGTTTTTAAATTCATTTAAAAATTCCTGAAATTAGAGGTTGGATAAATTCAATATTGAAGGAACAAATTGGGGCAAGCATGTTTGATGAATTATTCTGTATACTTTCAAGCTCTATTTCAGGCACCCCCCATATCAAATTTTGGGGCAATGTACCAAATTTTTTTGAAAACAAGACTTCTAATAAATGATATAACACAATATTCATTAGAAACAATACGGTTGTCTCATACACGATTTCTAGATTAACTGTATTACTATTTTACTGGATTAGCCAAGTTGACTGGTACTTCAAAAATTACAAATTAATTTCAACGGACTCCTAAAATTGCTGAGTCCATGTACTTGATTTTCAACCAACCATCCATAAAAAATTGAAGATAACTAAATAATACTAAAGAAATTTATTAACTTCTAGTTTTAATAAAATGTTGACCCATTTTGAATTTATCAAATTCAATAGTTTTTTATACTTTCAAACTTAAGGACAATTTCACCAGCACTAATCAACTTTGCAATTCTATATAGCTCTTATATTATTATTATTTTATAGCATACCAAATACCCAGGATCTATAGACCTAAAGTGCTTGAAGGCTGTAAAAAGTTTTGTTCCCCTATTAGGCTAGCCCCTTGTAAAGATATTTACACCAGGTTGGTCGGCACGGTCGGTTCTATGGAAATAAAACAATTTAAAAGTATAATGCGTTTGTTGATAATCTAAGGCCGTGCGACAAAACGTTTTGTTCAAGGATCAACGATTGTCAATGGAGTGTGATACTGGCTTTAATTTACTATTTAAGATTTCAAATATGTTGTAACATCGTGGTCATTGACAGAACATTATTGTCCCCAAATTCGTGGTTGTGCAGGCTGAAATCTACTGTGTTTACGCCTTAATCCGGGCCTCTAAATGCCAAACATGTCTTTTGTAATTTAGTACTACTTTTCCCTATGTGGATATGGGTGTGTCAAATTTGTTTGTGCCAAATTTTAGTGCACGCACTAGGCATTTAATTTACTAAAGAATAGAGTAATTTGCATCCTCAGTTTTCAAGAATACACTCAGAGTTTTTGATTTACGAACACTTACATTTTTCGTTAGAATATTGTTTACTGTTTAGGAATTCAAATTTCAGCATCATTGTTACCTAATATTCATAAGCGATGATAAATTCAATAACAATCATTTCATAGTATGGGTTTTATTTTTTTATTTTTAAGGCAGTGTAGAAACCATTAATTGTTGTAATAAATAAATTGTGTACTCTCTTGTTATTTTAATGAAAAAAACGTATAGAGATTGTTTTGAATAAATTCCTTAGCATTTTGAATTTTGTATTTAAAATTTCAAACTTCTTAGTATTTTGTATTTAAATAAAATTGTGATAACTTGATACAATTGAAAACACTAACAAATGATTATAACATTATGAATCGTTTTAACATTAGTCATATATTTAATGTATTAAATAGGTAGGTAGATAACTAATATAAATAATATAAATAAACTTGATATAATTTATTTTATATATTAGTATTGTCTACAATAAAATGTTACATTAATATCAAATTGCCTTTTTAAGATAAACAATTATAGTAAATAATACAAATTTAATTGTATTAGATGCTTAGCTGTAAAGTGTAAACCATGAACTATGACGGATATAATATTTTAGTCGTTGTGGTGTATGCTATAAATTTAACTAATATTAATTTTCTATTTCCTAAATGAATTAGTTATAAGTTATAACTATAAGGGTATTAAAATTGGTGTACCTTATAAATTCTATATATTGGAGTGTAGTTTATTATTATTAATACTAATTACTATATTATAATTATCACATACAACAAACACTGATAATTTATTTGAACAGAACAAAACAAAAAAATGTTATTACCATTTATTTCATTATTTGTATACCAACTATAATAATGCGAATAAATGTACCTATAATAGATTAGAATTTAATACAACGTATAAACGTATTATTCAATAATTATGTTGTATATTGTTATGTTGTTATTATATGGCGTACCGATAAAACTGCGTGTTTATCGTATAATTAAAGGACCGGCGTGTATACAAGTATATTTTATAACAATATAGTACATCGTTGGATGATAATAATAATAATAATAATAATGTTTCATCGCGATATTATTACGGGTGGGGCCGTGGGGGATGAGAAATAAAAATGAAATACCCGGTCTCGTTTATTAGTTTTATATTATAGAGGGCCGCGGCGGCGTGGCAGGTTGCTGCTGTAGCAACAGACGTTAAAATGTATTCCGCCTGGGCTTAATTTCATTTTGTTTATATAAAACTGCGATAATTACGACGCCGGAATGTTGTTTTTAATATTTGCATAGCCAATTACGGAGCGGGTTAATGATCCATCATCGGGCGGGAAACATTGTGCGCCCCGGTCGGTGTATTATATTGCGATACGTGGGGATGATAGGAGGCGGCAGAAGATACAAAATACAATTTTAATATTCATAAGGTGTGCGCGTGTGCGTGTGGGTGTGAGAGTGGGTGTGGGTGCGTATACATAGACATAAACATATTATTACGACGGCGTGATGGGGCGGAATCCCTTCGGGACAATGAGAGAGGAGAGCGCCGCCGCTCAGTTCTATACACAATTCACTCGTGTTCGGTTATATATTATATCCTGCAACGGTGGCCTTATGGTACGAGCGTAATAAACGCCCCGCTCAGTGTTGTGTGTGTGTGTGTGTGTGTGTGTGTGTGTGTGTGTGTGTAACGCGTAGTATTGTAAAAGGGGATCATCAAAAATAATATGATTATAACTGTTACACGGTTATGTGTATTATGTAGAGGGACTTAAATTGTAATATATACCTACCTATATATTTAAATACACACAGATCGTTGTATACGTGTATAATATTTAACGAAGATATGACACGGGATTTCGGGTTGCACGTGAATAATGTGTAATTAATAATAATGACGTAATCAAATATCGGTACCAGAAATAATAATTATTCTATTCGTTATCATCACTTATTATCACTTATCGACAGCGGAAAGAAAAAAACTTATATTTTCGGCAACAGTAA